AAAAAAAAAAAAAAAAAGAGTTCTTTTTGTGACTGGGTACAGTGGCTCATGCCTGTAATCCCAGCACTTTGGGAGGCTGAAGTGGGAGGATCACTTGAGGCCAGGAGTTGAGACCAGCCTGGGCAACATGATGAAACACTGTATCTACTAAAAATCCAGAAAATTAGCCAGGCGTGGTGGCACGTGCTTGTGGTCTCAGCTACTTGGAAGGCTGAGGCAGAATTGCTTGAACCCAAGAGGTGAGGTTGCAGTGAGCCAGGATCACACTACTGCATTCCAGCCTGGGTGATAGAGCAAGGCTGTCTCAGAATAATAATAATAAAGTTCTTTTGTGTCAGATCAATGTGGAAAGGTGTAGATACCTAAGATCTCTATTAGGGATGGTCTAGGATCCTCAGATATTAGTGAAGAAGGGGAATGTGTACTGCGTAGGTTCCATCTGGATGTTCCATCAGCTCTGTGCAGAAACAGGATTTTTTAAATTGACATTTAAAGAGGATGGCGCTAATTGTCCAGAATAACTCAAAAGGTTCTGGAAAAGAGAATAGTTAGACAAGACTTGCTCTCTAAAATGCTGAGGAAAGACTATTTATTTATTTATTTTAACAACTGATAATCAATTTATTAAAATAACTGATTTAAGCATCTGCAGTGGTGACTTCCACCTCAACTCCTGGCTCAATACTGATGGAAGTAATCTGCTTAACAATCTCTGAAGGACTGTGCAAGTCTGAGTCGCTTGTGGATTCTCATCTGGAAACGATCCCATGTTTTAGAACCTTCACCACAAGGTGTTTTTCTTGTAGTGATTCTCAAAGTCTTCGTAGGCATTCAAACTGCTCCTTTCACTTTCAGATTCTTTTCCTTTGCTCCTCTGATCAAGTCAGCACACACCTTCTCCAGCGATTTTACCTTGCGGCTTGTTAGAGTGATTGGAATTCGGTGAATTGCCACCTCCAGCTCCACGGGTGTTTTTCCGGTATCCTTAAAAGCCATGGCTAGGCCGGGCGCGGTGGCTCAAGCCTGTAATCCCAGCACTTTGGGAGGCCGAGGCGGGTGGATCACGAGGTCAAGAGATC